TCTCCATACAAATGCTTCGAGAAAAGCGGGTCAACTTTTACATATAATTTTGCATGATAAATAGTTAGGAGTGATTCCTTTATAACTTCTATATTTATTTTGTTCGAAAATTTTTGCATCTTTTTAATGCGTAAAACATAACATTTTATTTATTAAATAATTAAATATAGACACGTCAAGATACATTATGTGCGTAAGTATATAGAACACAGATAAAAAAGGAGTCAACTAATTTGACAATTAGCTGACAAAAAAGTAGACCTATCTATATAATCTAAGTTATTAAGGGAGTGTTACTCAACAGTGAAACTAAACATTTTTCTCTGGAGAAGATTAGTCGAAAAACGACAAAAAATGAGCACTCTATACTAACTTGACAGCTAGAAAATTTTTTTTTGTTTTCCACCCATGTTTTTTTGGTAAATATTATTATTTTCAATATTTACAAAACGAGTAAGTTTTTTTTTATACAGCTTAGAATGGCAAACAAGCTAACGGCCCACCTGATGGAAAGTGGTAACCGTCGCTTTTAGACATGAGCAGTACCATGGACATAACAGAGTAGTTACGCCCATAAAACCCTCATGCATTGCCATTCCTGAGGACTCAGATGTTATTCCTCTATACTCTGTAAATTCACGCCATACCTCACCCTTCAAACCGAAACACAGCCATGCCAACACAACTGCTTTACTGTTGAAACACGAATTAGACAGAGGTACCCAAGCAAACGACTTTTGTACAAAGTCACCCTCTGGTTCTCAATTTGATTGTATTTTTTACGTTAATTAATTTATAAGTCCGTCATTTATAAATCGATTTGTAAAATACTTTTTTTTGTCTAAAAAGATATACTTTCCGATCGGTTCCATAAAAATTCTATCAAAATCTGTTCAGTAGTTTAGTTTTTAAATCAAAATAATTGCCTCTGCAATGATTACAGTAATTTTTTTGTGTAACACTATCTTATGAAATCTAGATGCGAAGTCTAGATTTCGTATTTAGATAGAAATCTAGAATGAAATTTCCATTATTATTGATAGAATAGAGTCTTAGCAATATGATAATAATTTCGAGTTCACTTGTATAATGTAAAGGAAAAGATACGATTCGACTGAAGTTGAATATTTCCTCCACAAAGGTCGATATCCGTTCACTCCGCATTCCGAATATAATTCCTTTGTGGTAAACAAAGGAATTAAAATTTAAGCTTCTAAGGGAAAAAGTCATACTTATTGTCTCTTTACTGTATAATATTCAAATTATTAGATTTGATTGAAAGCCAGCGACCGATAAAACCACAAGATACATTAGTTCTATGTATCCAGCTCTTAAAGTTATAAGCTGAAGTTACAGTTGGTTAGTTCATCGGTTACATCTGTTACAACAGAGATATTGTGGAAGATCATTTTTATTTATTATTATTTTTTTTTATTTATTATACTCGTACTTTATTATATACAAAAATTACATAGTTAAAGTCTATATTAAATGAAGATATACAACAGGTTAGCTTAACTCTGTAAGAGTTCTCTTCCAGCAAACTGAGTTCTTCTTCTGAATACTTTTTATATTAAAAGGAAGTATATAAATTGCTGTTCATTATAGCTTTGCCATATGTCAATACTAGTAATTTTTAGTACTTGGTATAACTTTGAATATTAATGAATGTATTACAAAAACACACTTCCACAGTTTGTTATAATAAATACCTGACCCGTTTTGCCTTTCACGGTATTGTTGTCAAAGTTGGGACGTTTACTTAAAACGTTACCTCAAATATTTTGAGTTATAAACATTGTATATATATATATTAAATCATTACTCTAATAATAATTAATTGGTTTTTGGTAAAGATAAAGGTAAATGATAATAATTATCATTCTATTTGAAGTCACTTTCAGATAGATAGAACGTGAAACAATTTCATATTGATATTTCAGTTACGTCTTTCATATTTGTGACCTTAGATAAATATGAAATACAAATTACTTGAGACTAACTTCCGTATCATAACCATACAATCAACCAGGTTAATTATAATACATTAATATTTCAAATTATTTTGACATCAAATTAGATTTTACATTGATATTATGTGAAATCGTTATAACAAATGAATTTATATAATAACGATTTAAATAAGAATAACGAACGAATACAATTGTGTTTATAATGACCGGTGCTAATTTTTGATTAAATACGTTAATATTAATTTTAATCAATAACTGACGATGTCCTCTCCAACTTTTATTACTTTTTCTCCTCGAAATGGGACTATTTCAACCAAATTGTTCCACCCACCCATTCTCAAGTGAAGTGCTTATCATAACAATGAGTAGGTAGTATTAGGGGGAAGGAATTGTTAGTAATGGGCATTAATAGGCCTATTAGTAGCAATATACTCTACCAGGTCGACCTTCACGTGACTTTCTCACCGTCCATCGTGGTTAATTCTGAATAAATTCTTCACTATAGGTTAACAGATATGTTTTCATCTTCATCTATTAAAATTCACCCACCAAATTTAACCGATAGCACAGGCGGGTATAACATTCTATTTCACTCATTAAAAATAGGTAAAATTTAATTTTTGTTCATTATAAATTTTTATTAAATTAAAAAACATAGTGAATGAAAGGAAATGCAATAATTATTAATAGCAGATATTAATGTTGCAGACGTCCGTATATGAATAAAATACTGTAAATCAAGAGAATATAAATCCTCACGTAATATTAGATTGTGAAAAATCGTATTGTAGTTTCTGGAATGCAATATTTATACGAGTACAGATTTTAAATGCAATAATTATCGATAATACGAAGGATGGTAAGGTTTGTTGTAAATATAAAAATAACTTTGAATATACACGAATAAAGTATGAAGGTAATTTCCTCGTAATTTTTATTTAAAATTTTCAAATTACGTTTGGGTTTATACTGTATTTTAAAATGGAGTTAGCTCAACGCTTAAAATGTTTTAATGGTATTTAATTAATAGACACATTCTCTTTATGTTTTTAATGAGGTTACAATTTATTGTAATTTAGAAATTAATTTAAATACATCAATACATGAAAATTATACTTATTAAGTTAATTTATTAAAACATAATCATTGTTTATTAATTTAAAATAAATAGCAGACTTGAGTTTAAATTGCTCAATTAAATATTTATATCTACGTAGCGGTATATTAGAGAGATGGGATTATATGAAAGATAACAAAAGTCGAGTAAATATAGTAGAAATGCAAACTGCGAAGAATCGAACACGTAAACCTGGTATACCAAATTCCTAATCCTACTCTAGGTGACGTCTATATATAGGAGATATCTAAGAAAAATTGGTTTAGAGGGATTTTAATAATAGCAAAAAGTCAACGCTCATAATCATCTTCCTACCCTGTGATTATTTAATAATTTATAATAACATTTTAGAATTATTGTCTAGGTATTTGTATATTTGTTCTGGCATCATATAATAACTGTTGCACCAAACTGTATGTGGTTGTTATAGTTATATTAGAAAGATTTAAGTTGTAATCTAGCATATGTCTTATCTTGATACGTAATCTAATAGTGGTTACATATTTTTAAAATTCGCGCGTATGAAGTTACAGAGAAAAGCTAGTACGAGATATGATTACGTGAGATGTAGGTTCCAATTCAAATATCAATCAAACTATCATGATCGAATAGATAAATATAATCTACTTAGAATATTATTGGTCTATTATTAGTACCATTATTAACAAAACTAATATGCATGGTATTAATTTACTAAATAACTTTAAACATTTAAAAGTAAAATCAAATTAAAATAAAGTCATATTTCATACTCGTATCTGTCGTTAACTGTCCTGTAAAATATCACTAAAAGTGTAATTGCGGTTGTCAATCCGCCGGTCAAGCGTGGAAACTACTGGAAAAATCATAAATTACTTATGTATAATACTAGCAGTAACTATATGAGACAAAGTCACTTATTATAAGTCACTTCATTAGGAACAGAGATATACGTAGGATAAGATTAAGATTAAGAGTACGTAATAAACTATTATTAATGTTTAACAATGTAGTTACTAAGTATATATAACAATATTGTAAAATACTGCGCTGTGTAATATTATCATGTAATAAAAGATAATGACAGAAAATGAGATTTTAGTATATGGAGGAATATAAGAATTTAATTGTAAATGAACAGCAAAATAGAAAAAATTATATTACAAAAATTTTTTGGAATAGTTTTAAAAATAGTGTTTATAGTGAACATTGCATATGCTCAAGGTAGGATCATGTGGTACTTCTATTAACTTGCCACAATAATTATATTAAGAACAATTTGACCTTTTAAATAAAACAGCACAATGTCGAAAATCCCTTACACCGAGCAATGGTACCCATGAGAGAATTTTAATAATAATAAATAAATTTACAATCGCAATCAGGGGTTCGCCAGTCGGTTTGAATATAAAATGACTGAATATGTTAGCTGTAATAAATTTAAATACAAGTTCAATGTATTTAAATTGTTACGATAAATTTGTATTTTTGAATAAAATTTATATTTATTACTATAAATATATTTATTTAAATATGGATCATAGATAATCTTACCGCCAAACAAAAATTGAAAATACTGCGATGACATTAATTAAAGTTCATAAAATTTTCTCATTTACAAAAGTCTGGATTTGATTTGATTTTATTGACGTTAATAAGAGTAAAAACTTAAAATAAAAATAAAAAATACGTCTAATTATATAATTAAGCATCGAAGAAAATCTAAACTGATAAATGATGATTTTATTAATAAATTGCCGGATGACAAAATTATTACCATTATAAATACAAGAGTATTCAAAAAAAATCTATATAGAAGTAAGACAGTATTTGATAAATATAAAATAGCAGATAAATAAATGGAAGATTTAAAATAGACAATTTTAATGAAGCTGATACGGTCTAGAAGATAATTACATGATTAAACTTACAGTAAATGTAGTTTCACGTTGAGTGGAAGCGGTGCCTTCTGGTTCCACAGGGGTTCTCAGACTCTGTGGCAGCAGTTCAATTAAGTTCGTCGAATGAGGTTGGTAACGTAACACCAGGACGCACGTCGACACCAATGTGTAGGCCAGGAGTGTACCTAAGGAAAAGCAAATTTATTATTAGTTTGTTTGATCCTACAGCTGTTGGTAATTATATTGACTTTTCTGTTTATTACGTTTATTATCATTACAGACAGGATTTCAGGCGTTTGTTTATATACAGATTTTATATACAAGCTCTATAGTAATATATTTTTTAGATATTGAGCAAGTTTACTGTGTAAGATTTTAATATATAAAAATCCCGTATCACAATGTTTGTTCACGCGTAATCTCCGAAACCGCTCAAGCTATTATATCGAAATATCGTAAAAATAGAGAGAGTAGTTTATATCTCGATAAGTGATTGTCGAGATCTTGCATCTGTATGGTTTCGGGGTGGGTTGCTATATATTTGTAAATTGAGTTTGTATATAAAAATATTATTTATTTTTATTATGTTTTCAACATTAAATAGATTGACTTTTACATCATCGATTATATGATGGACGTAAAATATGGCACACCAAATCACCATACAATTATATTAAAATGCAAACAAGTTGACAGCCGATTCGATGGAAAGTGTTAATCGGTCCGTTGCCTATAAATATAAACAGTGCCATGGATGTGACATGAATGGGAGAGTTATCGCTTATGTCAAGCGAAACTTTTAAATTACGAGTATACCGTTTTCATCGACAGCTTGTGACGCGGCGGCATTGAGATTTGAATCCACATAGACGTCGAAAGAGGTATTCTATAATCCATAATACTTACATATACTTAGATTGCAAGTATTAACAACATTAAAAAAAATATAGAAAAAAAGTTTACATTTATATATAAAGTGTAGTTAAAATCAGTTAGTGTTATGAAAATGAAAAAGGATGCCAATTTAGCTTAAAGTTCCTGCAGAAGCAGAAACGCTGATTTTCAATTAGCACCTCATTACCTAGCCCGGTCCATCGAGATTACAAATTAAAATTTAGAGTAATATAATACACAAACATGCGTAAAACAATAGGTAAAAAACAAAAATATCAGTAAAAACAATAATAACAAAAGAAAAACGAGAACAAAAAAGTTTTCGACCCTATGTGTAGAATAAAACAAGTATCCAAGCCAATTGACAATGGCTGTACGATAATTCACAAATTACATTATTTCTAAATACAACATGTATTCTGATAAGACAAACATTTACAAAGAATTGGGGAAAAAAAATTAAAATTCAAATAATAGAATAAATGAAGTCATAATCCATGGTATTTGTTAGCTACATAGAATAACTAAAGAGCAAATTTTATGAGTTATCATGAGTTTTTCAAAGACGTAAAAATAGGGTAGTTAATGTGTTACTAGTTTATATGCATTCTTTTATATATTATATGAGTTATATTTAATTACCATAATATGAAGCTTCTAAAGTGAAATCTAAATCTTAAACCACGTTATACTATGTTTACGGTCTGACAATTCAAATAAAAAATGCAATTTAAAATTAAGTGGAAAATAAAAAAAAAATAACAATAATTTTATGTGTTTAATTTTAATCGCCTTTGAAATTCTATAATATTCTTGCTTCCAAATTTTATTATTTCTAATTGTGGTGCCTCTAGGGCAATGCTCGGATTTCACGGGCCTAAATAAACTCATGGATATAACAGTAAATATGTTCAAGGTTACGACGAATCTTTTCAAGGTTATCGTAACCCTTATGAGTGTAAAATTAAAAATAAATATTTTGTTGTTCTTCGACCTACAAATGAAAAGGATCCGTGATATAGATCACGATCCTTTTCCATTTTGTTAAAATAACAATATTAAATTTCTTTATTACATACGAGTAGCTACTGTTGAGGTAGAAATTATTAACATTTTAAGGGAGGGGCAAATTCTTTTTTACTAGTAGAACATACTAGTGAAAATGAACATTTTTTAAAATGAAATATGAGTAGAAAAAATATATAAAAAAAAATACGAGTCCACCGTACTAGCATGGAGCGTCCAATTACATCGTAGCATGAGATGGTTTGCATTTTTTCTTGTTTTTTTAACTTGTGTTTCTTTGGAAAAAAGTGTACACTTTCACTGACAGAGCACTACGAGTACAAGGATGCTAATAATTTATATTTTGCTATGTTGACTAGAGAATGTTCAAAATAATATTATATATAAATAAAAATAGATTTTACTGAATTATGTGTTATCGTTCGGTTCATTGGTCATTTGATAAGAATTATTTTATTTAATTCCGCTTGCTACCATTATTATGTATGCAGCTATCTAATAATATACCCAAAGATGCCGAAACACGGGTATTGCCAAACGTGCATGATTAAAATGACAGTCGGAGCTTGACGGATAATATGGAAGTTTATGGGGAAAATCTGGTAGTAATACACCACTATTACTACCAGATTTTCCCCACAACCACACCACCACCACAAATTTATATATATACATATATATATATATATATATATATATATATATAATTGCTTGAAACAACAGAAATATTTGTCATAATTAAATAAAAAAATTTATTTTATTAAATTGTAGACTTCAATCTCTTATAACTTGTGCTGTGCAGTTTAATAATAAAAAGTGAGTGTTTATTGAATAGAAACGTTCATTGTCTTGAGTTACTTCAGCCAGTCACATCGCAAGCAATGCCGATTAAATGTCAGCTACAGGGGATGCCGGCTTTGTTTGTTGGAATTTATCCTTTTGCTCGTCGCTTCAAGAATTTATTTGATTGAAAACATGGCAACAAGATATTTAATTTGAACGAATAGTTAAAGTTAAAAAAAAGATTTCTCTTAATTTAACGAATTCTGTAACGTTTATAAAGTTAATTGCTATTTTTAAGGCGTAATTTCTTAATTAACGTGATGTCATAGCTTTGTACTGATTAGATAATATACAATTTTGAAACATCGTGTGGCCCTGGAATAGAATGGGCCACCTCTTTCTTTCTCGTAGGTATTGTAAGAGGCGACTAAGGCAATTTAATGGACGAAGGATGGGTAACAGCGTTTTTTGGAAAACATCACTAAAGCTTAATTGCGGTTGCTAACTCGCCTGCCAACCATGGTAACTACTGGAAAAAGGGGAGATCTATGTTCAGCAATAATGATAATAATAGATACTAATAATAGCGTTTATTGAGTTTATCAATTACAAATTATACTAGTTATAAAGATTAACAATACATACACACCAAAATGAATAATATTAACAAAACTTAATTACACAAATGTAAGGTAAATATGCAACTATAGGCGGCCTGGCAGCAATGGACAGCTAACAACTGATACGATGAATCATCTTAGTCGAATATGCGAGTAGATATCAAATTTGAAGAATTTTAAAACTCCCATAAAGTAACGACTGTACTTTCAGTACTGTAGTGTACTTATTTTTGTTTTTAATATAGTTTTATAATCACAGTAGACACAAAATAATGAGTTATTTTGTTTATTGTATCGCCACAAATTTATCGGCCATGATATAGCTTTTAACTTCCCCATGAGGCGTTTTCCCAGTAGTTGTCATGCTTGGCAGGCAGATTGGCAACCGCAGTTAGGCTTTGGAGATGTTTTAAGAGGGACGCTGCTGCCCTTCCCTCGCCCTCCTTTAGTCGCTTCTTACTTACATCAACGGGAAATGAAGAGGTGGCCTATTCTAAGCCGGGACCATATGGGAAATCGGTTTCTGTACCTACATATATATTTAAGCCATAGAGATACAGGATCCCTCGATTTCATACTTAATAAAGGAACTTTATGCACAAAATTTTGTTGCTACTTTGTTTGGTGATATCTTTGTCATAACAGAAATAATTAATCTTTGCTAGAAGCCTGCGGTGAGGAAGTTATATGTAGTTAAGAGACGCTCATAAAATATGTGTGTAAAAACGATGGGGAACAATTACCAAGTGTGATGATAAACACGATACGATGAACATATATATCTGAGGTGTTTATATAAAGAAGAAGATAATGGAAAATTTTACAGTTTTTTCAGTTAACAAATAAATAAATTAATACAGGTAATTATTATTTTACAACATCCTGGAGATAACATAAAGCAATGCTATTATATTTATATAATGTTATAAATGATTTATTTATTTATTTAAATAAATTTATTGACAGAATGAAATTTTTTTTTATACAACTTAGAATGGCAATCAAGCTAATGGCCCACCTGATGGAAAGTGGTAACCGTCGCCTATAGACATGAGCAGTTCCATAGACATAACAGAGTATACTGTTTCACCCAATATACCCCCCATGCGTTGCCATTCCTGAGGATTCAAGTGGTATTATCCTCCTCCTCTGTATCTTGTAAATTCACCCCATATCCCACCCTTCAAACCGTAACACAGCCATGCAAACACAACTGCTTTACGGTTGAAACACGAATGCGACAGAGGTACCCAAGCAAACGACTTTTATACAAAGTCTCCCTCTGGTACAAATATGGTACAAAACTCGGACTTAATGCTAGTAACATTCTCTACCAGTCAACTTTTTGGGATTATCACATAAATATATAATCACGATTTTTGAAACTAAGAGAAATGAGTATCAAGGTAATTTTACCTTAGATATGAATAGTATAAAGTATTGAAATACTTCGTTATGAGTTCTGACCACTTGGGCACTTAAGGGAATTGTCATTTCAAAGAATATTCTATTGATAACCAATTCTATTAATATTATGCGAACTAATTAGCTAGTAGTTAATATAGAAAGTAATATTCAAGAAATGGAAATTGGCACGAATTACACCACGCAACAAGTTGGAACTCTGCACTAACTGATGTCTAGGATTGAAATGAATGCAAATATTAAGAAAGTTTGCAAGTATTATAAGCACATTTAGGGGATTCCTTTGGGTAACTTTATGTATTTATAACATCAAAATGAAATAGATCTCATCTCAAATTTTATATTCGTGTATTTTTTTAATATCGTCACCAATTATAAGTTAATTACGATAAAACCTTTTTTAATCAAGAGGGTTTACACGAGTGTATGATCGTTCA